TGACAGAAAGTGTGAGGCAAGATAGGGGCTGGAGGGGTACGGAGGGCCAGGCAAGGCAGGCCTTGGTTGCTGCTCTGGGCATGGGGATGTTATACGGTGGGGTGGGCGCGGTCAGGGGACCTGTAGTCTGAAGGGATAGACTTTCAAAATCACACTGTGTGGAGGCCTATAACCCCAGAATGAAAGAACCTCTGGTCAAACAATTCCTGAACTGGGATCGTCCTGCAAGAGGTGTCATACCACCTTCTATAGCACGTGAAAAGCATCTCAAAGGGACAGAACCACAGCAACTGAAAGCTTATACTTAGCCCCATCTCAGCCCCACAGGGTCTCACAACCAGATTCACACAATCAGAGAAAGCCAGGTCCCCCTGCTCAAAACACACATATACGAATGAGCCACATGTCACAGAAGTGGGAGGTGGATGGGCTGGGAGGAATGGATTTGAAGGTCACACCTCCAGGGAGCTTACCTGGAGTCATAGGAGAGGCTGGTGGAGGCGGAGCCAGAGGTACTGGCGGCATCTGTGGAGTCCACATCTGAGAAGAATGTCTGGCCTGAACTTGCACTGAGAAAAGGGAGAGGGTAAGCCTAGCAAAGTCCTGCCAGTCTGGCCCTCAGGGCCCCCTGGGAGCTATCCAGTCATCTCTCTGCCCCTCTGACCTGCATCCCAGCAGAAGCCCATCTTCCTGTTGCTGAGCTCACTTCCACAACTGCCTGTCCATTTCCTGCCCACCAAGCCTCCAAAGTCCTCAGAGTCAGGACCCTGGTGGTGGTATAAGCCCTGGTGGCAATACCTAATGAGCAGGATGAGAGGCACTGGGGTGACACTTTACAGGTCAGAATGCTTTCATCTGCATTTCTTATTTGAGGAAAACAGATGAAGAGGTTCAGAGAGGGTAAGGCATTTAGCCAAAGCCACACCTCTAGTACCAGTAGTAAACAGCCTAGAGCTCAGGTCTGCCTTATTACAGCCCTCACTCTTCTGAGCTCTGAGGAAAGCACTGAATGACCTTTAATAACTTTGAAATGATGGAAGATGCAATCCCTCACCTCCATGGGAGTACACAAGCATGGGGTGCTATGGGAATACACTGAAGGGCTTCTTGGAAGAGGCAGGGTTTTCTTGAGTTTTCTGATAGGGTAGTATGGGGCAAAGGGAAATCCAGGCAGAGGGAACAGCATGAGCAAAGGTGAGGAGCCATCAGACAGCA